TGCCCAGAATACTGTGGTTGAAATCATCTGCTGCCAGAGGTAGTGGGTTTGGTGGCAGGAGGGTCATTATTAGATAAAAGTGTTTCCAAAGCCCAAGCTGCTGTCTCACATCTACCACATTTAAGTCCAGAGCAGGAAGGCCAATGATGGATCTACCTGCCCCGCCACAAATTGACATCCTTGAGGCCAGTTAATGACTACACAGTCCACTGCTGTTGGGTCTAAATCAGTTGTGAGCATGTGCATTACTTGCGTGGGCCGCTTGTCACTTGGGAGTGTCCCTCAACCAAAAGCACTCGATCTATGGTCAAGGGACTGGAGATCAGCCAGAGATGTTAGTCACTGGTAGCCACCCATCAGCCTTTGATTCTGACCCATATGCCCTCCACTCCCCGTGAGACCCCAACCCTAGATGCGTCCCTGACGTTTCTTCCCCACCTGGCCACAAAACCCTTACCTTAGTCCTGGGTCCTCTGCGATCCTGGAATTGTAGGGTGTGTCACTTTCAGAAGCAACCATGCCTTCCTGGGTGGCACTGCTCAATGCCAGACCCTCTGATTGGCTGACCACTCCGACACCGGGGTCCTAATTCCACGCAAAGGCCTAATGATGGCCTTGCCAATGCCCGATTGGTTTGGTTATTTGGCTTGCCCCCCACAGAAGTGATAGTATGGGTGTCTCATCAACTCTTCAGCCATCTGCATTGAGCCCATCAAAATTCTATCCTATGGAAAAGGAAGGAAATTTCCTTTAAAAGAATCACATTAATGTCTCCCCCCATCACAACCATTTCCATGGGCCACTTCTGTCTTTACTCCACAGTAGCACTGAGGGGGTGCTGCACTGCTGGCTGTAAGTGGAGTTTTCCTCTTTCTTGTTTAAGTGGAGGTTAAAAATTCATTTTACAGCTCAAAGAACATGAAAGAAATTCTCCCAGTCACCTGGACAACATTTATCCTCCAAACATTCCCAGTAAAGAAATTCAACAGATTGTTGTCACATCATATGAGTCCTTAATAAAAACTGAAAGAATGGTGAATGCTCTAAATCAGAAACAAAAACAGAAATTGTTGGAAAAGCTCAACAGGTTTGGCAGAACCTGTGGAGAAAAATCAGAGTGAATGTTTTGGATTGTGTGAGCCTTCTTCAGAATTCATATTAAGGGTTTTACTTCTCCAGGCAAACTTGTAATTTCATGTAAGAAAAAGACTTCTGTTTCTTTCCATATGCAATACATAAATTGGATAACGTGGGAGATGAAGCAAAGAGGGCTGAAAAATATGTGGGAGTAGAGGAGAGCGTGTGTTAAAGAGAATTACAGGGAATGTTGGCAATTATGGAGTTGAATATCGGGAATTCTGCTCACTGTACACCTTAAATTGACAGAAGGTTCACAAAGGGCCTGGAGCATTGTTTGTAATATGGAAATTCAACTCGAAAAGGTGTGAGAAAGCATGAGATGACTAAGTGTGCCCTTTGTGTTTACTGCTTGAGAGGGTAATGAGCAGTATCATAGAATCTGAGAATGTTTACTGCACAGAAAGAGGCCATTTGGTTCATCTTGCCTAAACTGGAGCTCTGCAAATTTGCAAATTAGCTCATCACACACCCCTTCCCCCACCCCCTTCCCCCTCCACTTTTTCCATGGAGCCCTACAAAAATCTTACTCTTCAGCTAGCTATCTATCTGAATGGGGAAGCAGCCCAGACCTCCCATGAGACCAAATGATCAAAAGTGCCCAGACGACCACGGATGGAAACATTTGCTCCCAAAGGTAGAGGGTTTGGAGGCACGAGGGTCATTCACTATGTTGGACAAAGGTGTTCCCAAAGGTGAAGCAGCCAACTCACCGCTACCAGATTTAAATTCAGGTGGGAAGCCCAATGGTCAATCTTCCTGCCCCACCACAAACTGAGACCCTTGAGGCCAATTAATGACTATGTAAGGACCTCAGCCCACTGCATTTGGGTTTAAATCAGTTACAAACATTAATATTACTTGTGTGGGCGGCTTGTCACTTGAGGGTGTCCCTCAATAAATCAAATCAAATTGAAAGGCCACAATTGAATCTGCTTCCACAACACATGCTTTCCAGATAATAACCATTTGCTGCACAAAGAATTTCCTCTTGCCACCACTGCTTCTCCAATCACTTTACATGGGAGTTTCTACACTTCTGCCAATGTGAGCTGCTTCTCCCTATCTCCTCTATCCACATACCCTCATGACTTTGATCAACTGTAATCATCTTCTCTTCACCATGGCTTACAACTCTCGCTTCTCCATTCCATCCAGGGATCTGGATGATGTATCTACCTCATCCTGGTGAACATCCTTGTGATAATTTTCTTTACACTCCCTCAAATATGGTGCCTGGAACTGGACACAATACTTCAAATTGAGCTGGACCAGTGCCATGTTAAGGTTCCCCCATAGCCTCCTTACTTTTGTACTCCATACCTCTGTTTGTAAAAAACAGATCAGGAGAAGACAGAAACCTGGCAGTTACACTAGGATCTGACCAACTGGTGGATTCCAGCTTCAGTCCTGCCAGCGTTGAACTGCCAGTGAAAGGACATCTCTTGATCATGAGACAGATACTCAACAATGCATGCTTTAAGTGGCACTTTTTTTTAAATAATCTAAGAATCAATCACGCACCTGGGTTTTATTAACTTGAAAACAATTAAACACATTATAAGTAATGAACCAAACATTACACTTATTTCTCTCTGCGCAGCCTGGAAACCCATGGTAGGCTAACTGTCAGGCAGAGTCTGAACATTATATACACATATCTCATGGGATCCTACAAGGCAAGCTCTCGTTAACACAATGTACAAATACAACACAAAACTCCAGTGCCTGCCAATCCCTAGATGGAGAGGTTTTGCAGGTTGGTCCCATGGTGGATACTGGGTGCGTTGGCGCTGGGTTGGCATGGAAGGCAGAAGGGGCTGATTGGGAGGATGAGAGAACCTGAAAAACGAGTTTCAAGAGGGCCTAAAATCTTTGAAAACAACAGGGAGCAAGTCACGGGGAACCACAGTGAGGCCTTCTAGCTAGGTACTCATCAGCCCCTGCGCCATCCTAGAATCTGCTTGCGAGGTTGGTGGGCACAAGCTCATCCCTCCTCCCGCACCCTCCTGGAGAAAAACTCTCACAGTTCGCGGTCCCTTTTGTTGAGGCGGGTTCAGGAAATTTCCCAACTCGGCCAACCTCAATCGGTAGCCAAAGTTCAACCCTAAGTACCAACAGATGTGCTCAGTTCAGGTTGTCCTCCTGTGTGAATCCCAGCCTGACCCTTATCCCAACCAGGAATAATGGGATCGTGGGGGGGATCCGCATGTGGGCACTGACTGTCTTTTCAAGGGTCTGCCATGTCCTCTTGACTCCAAGAAAATCTGACCAATCTGTCAATGAGTGATGAGTGTATATGAGTTCTGAAGAAGGGTCACTGGACCAAAACTCTGATTTCTCTCTGCAGATGCTGCCAGACCCACTGAGTTCTTCCTGCAATTTCTGTTTTTGTTTCTGAGTGGTAGTGTGCATATGTGCACAAGAGGGAGTCATTGAGTGCGTGTGAGAGGAGAATATTTCTGTGTACGTTCATTTAGAGTCATAGAGATGTACAGCACAGAAACAGACCCTTCGGTCCAACTCATTCATGCTGTCCAGATATCCCAAATTAATCTAGTCCCATTTGCTAGCATTTGGCCCATATCCCTCTCAACCCTTCCTATTCGGGTACCCACCCAAATGCCATTTAAATGTTGTAATGTTTAAATGTTGTCTCCACCGCTTCCTCTGGCAGCTCATTCCATATACGCACCACCCTCTGCGTGAAAAAAAAATGCCCCTTAGGTCCCTTTGGAGAGCCAGTACAGCCAAGATGGGCCAATTGGTCTTGTTTTACACCATAACAAATGTGTGACAGTATACAAGTGTGCACTAAAAAGAGCGTGAGAGGAGACAGTGCCCACTAAGTCTGTGTGTGTCCATGTGTGAGACAGAGACAAAAAAAAACTTTTATTTTAACATGTTGGCTGACATCAGCTAAGAGTGAACCAGTAAAAAGTTCAGCTGGGAGTTTGGGGCGAGGATAAGTTTTATTGCAACTAAGAATACACCAAAACACACACATGCACACCAGTGTGCAGAGCTGAGAAGTGTAAGAGGCAATTCCAGAACTTTACAACAATCTCATCAGCAGCACAAGGAATGAGGAAACATTGCCAGGGGCTTTAGAACAGGCAGGAGAAAAATACAACGAACAATTCGAAGCAAAGGAAGGTATCCCCCTGACATGAATGCACAAAGAATTTGTGCAGAAGTCTGTGCAAGTTAAAGGTATTGATCACATTGCAATTTGGTGACAGGAGTGTGGATTTGGACTGAAAGATTTGATGGATATTTAAATCTTCGAGAGAGTGCTGTTGATATGCTTGGAGGTTTTGGTCGTTTGTTTGATTTCCCTCATCCATAATTGAGAATTTTTTTTGAAGAAAATAACTTGAGGAGAGAGAGAGAGATCAGGAATACTGATCAGTAAGGGGGGGAAAAAAAAGTCTGCTTGCTACATATCCTCCTCCCCCACCTCTCCGTCTGCTGAAGAACCTCTTAAGTGGAAACTGCTCTGAAGAATCTCTTAAGTGGAAACTGTTTTGGAGCTCCTGTCTCTCTCTGGAGTGGAGGAAAGTTGGAGGGAAGGTTGGAACCTGTAGGGTGACATTACTTTTGCAGGGCTGCTGCTCACAGCGAGGGACTGGGAGTTCTGTGGTTTTAACAAGAATCTCTCGCTGCAAATTAGGTGCTGGAGGAATGAAGTCCCATCTCACCGGGGCTCAGCACTGCCAGGAGCTGTGAGCTCCGAACGCCTGCTTTTGCAAAACTACCTCCCCCACCCCACCCCCCTGCCTCCACCTCTCAAACTGATAAGTGAAGAGGAAGCTGAAACTTAGTCCGAGTTGTTCCTGTTCCACCTCCCAGTCTTTGAACTCTCTCTCTCTCTGTCTGCCTCTCTTGTGTTCTTTTTTGCATCCTCTCGAATGGCGAGATTTAAAGACAGTTTTCCAGGATCTGTCCTGCTCACCCTTCTCTTTTGTGGAATTTGCACTCAAGCGTGTCCCAACCGCTGCATCTGCTCTGGATCCAACGTGGATTGCCATCATTTGGGATTAAAGGCTGTCCCGAGAGGAATACCCAGGAATACGGAGAGACTGTGAGTAAAATTATGCTTTCGTTTACATTGGATTCAGTTAAATTCAGAAGTGAAACTTATATGCCCTTCAACAAGTCTGTGTTTGTATGTGTTTTTTTTTATTCTATTACCAAATACAAAGCAAGCACAGCCTGTGTTTTAAAGTGGCAGTTTGGTTTGCTTTTTCTTTCAGGGAACAGATTAAGGTGAATTCATGTCATTACAACTACCGCCATCTAAGTGGTTACAATCAGCAGCACATCCGATTAGAGTCATAGAGCTATACAGCTCGGAAACAGACCCTTCGGTCCAACTCGTCCATGCAGACCAGATATCCTAAATTAATCTAGTCCCATTTGCCAGCATTTGGCCCATATCCCTCTAAACCCTTCCTATTCATGTACCCATCCAGATGCTTGTTAAATGTTGTAATTGTACCAGCCTCCACCACTTCCTCTGGCAGCTCATTCCATTCATGCACCACCCTCTGTGTGAAAATGTTGCCCCCGAGATCCCTTTTAAATCTTTCCCCTCTCACCTTAAACCTACGCCCTCTCGTTTTGGACACCCCCGTCCTGGGGAAAAGACCTTGTCTATTCACCCTGTCCACTCAGATTGGGCTCTGAAACTGCATTTCTCAGTAAAATGTGACCCCTAATATCACCGAGGTCTAAGGCAGACTGAAGGTCGGAAAAAACATATGACAACGTGCTGTAAGAGATCCCCTGACAGATCAGGATCTTCCACTTGACAAGTACAGCACACTGTACCCTGATTTTTTAATTCCCCAAACACACAGACACCCACACACACACAATGTAGTTTCAGGATTGTTGGCTGTAACAATATCTGGGGATGGATTTGAGGGCACGAGCAACATCAAAGAGGGTTTGAGTTAAAGTTTGAGTCTGGATCGCCCAGTCTCTTGAAATCCCAGCCCCAGAACAAACACTTTAATACTATGCACATATTGTGGTTAGTTCTGGTGATAGTTTGAATCCCACTGCTGTGTAAGTGCACTCTGTAGAGTAAATGTCCTGATGACATCCGAACAGAATTGATGGTGTAATGGGAGCCAGGTCATTGAGTGATACCTGTAGCTAATGACAGGGGCAGGTTTGGTGGAGGAGGGGAACTATCACATATGTATCATACTCTTTTGGACTTGCTGTGACCAATAAATGCCATGCACTACTCCAAGACCACATCCATCTTTGCGCTTTGCTTGATATAGTTAGGGATTTGTGCATCAAGACTGTTTTTTTCATTCATTCGCTGGGTGTGGGCATGGCTGACTAGGTTAGTATTTATTGCCCACCTCTAATTGCCCAGAGGGCAGTTAAGAGACAAGCACACTGCTACGAGTCTGGAGTCACCAGACCAGGTAAGGATGGCAGTTTCCTTCCCTAAAGGAGTTCAGTGAACCAGATGGATTTTTTTTAACAATCAGCAATCATCATGAGACTCTTAATTCCAGACTTTATCAATATTGAGTTCAAATTCCACGATCTGCCATGACGAGATACAAACCCAGGTCCCTAGAACATCATGAAAACCAGAAGAACTGGGGGTGCTGTAAATCAGAAGCAAAAACAGAAATTGCTGGAAAAGCTCAGCATGTCGTACATTTTGCGACATGCTGAGCTTTTCCAGCAATTTCTGTTTTTGTTCCCCAAAGCGTCACATGGATCTCTGGATTAACAGTTTAGCAATGATACTGTTGAGCGTCTGGCAGTGAGCTATCTGAGCTCCTATGGAAGAAATCACTCCTGGCTTTCTTGTGTCCTGTGTTGAAAATTCTGATGACAATTCTGAGTGTCAGTAAGAGTTATTCAGAGATAAGACTGGACTGTTGTTGCATCTTTAGTATGTCCTTAATCACTCAACCCAATTCTGCCTGAACAAAAATATCTCCATCATACATTGACCTTCCAGCAGGGGTCAGTGAATAGCAATAGGCAGCAAGTGTATGAACCCAGTCACTGCCCAGCTAATTTATCCCAATCTGCAGGTTCAATCCTAAACTGTATACATTCCAGATGCAATGTACCCAATGGAAATTCCATATTATTAACGGATCATTGCAGCACTAGGGTGGTTTTACGCAGCAGGCTGCATAAATGAGATTGCTCACTTTATTTCACATTATTAGCATTGGTTATTTTACATTGTTGTCAACTGTTAGCTTGTGCTACAGTCATTGTACAAGTATTAAATAAAGTGCTCAGAAGTGTAGCCAATGATTCGCTGCTGGCAGCTAATTTGTGCTCAATGAGGTTCCACAAACGTGTGGAGATAATGACCAGATCTTCCAGTTTGGTGATGTGCTTATTGGTCAGGCCATCAGGGAGACACCTACCCTGCTCATTTACAGAATAGTGACATGGGATCTTTAACATTAGAGGGCAGACAGAGGCTTGGTTTAACACCTCATTTAAAAGACAGGAATTCTGACTGAATCAATTCCTCACCACAACACTCCAGTGCTAGCCTAAGGCTAGTGGCTCAAAACTCTTTGGATACAGAGGTGGAGTGTTTTTTATACTTTATTCATGAAAAAGGAAATCCTTGCATACGTGCACAGTTATTAAAGCAGTTCAGATCTATACAGTTTTTGCGTACAGAGAAGAAAACAAACACGAGGATTTGACTTTCCCGATAGTTACAACTGATCGAAAGGCATTTCTCAATGATACTAGATACTGGGATTTATTTACATCTGAGGCATCGGGAGGGTCTGATGACTGCATCCAGAGGTGGAGTGTCTTTTTATTTCAAAAATATACTTCAGTCATAAAAAATATCTTATACATACATAGTCACAAACACAGTTCGGTTCTGTACAGTAGCATGTCAAGGAAACAAACAAACATTGGAGTTCGACTCTATCCAAACAAATCAAAGGTATCTCTTATTTGTGCAAGACTATATTTACATGCATTTGAGGTACGAGGAAGGTCCAGTAACTGAACGGACCCCATTGTAGTTCAGCAGGAAGACCTCAGGCAGAAATAGTAAGAACTGCCGATGCTGGAGTCAGAGATGACACAGTGTGGAGCTGGAGGAACACAGCAGGCCAAGCAGCATCAGAGGAGCAGGACCTCAGGCAGTGGTCCTTCCCGACTGTACCTTGGCAGCAGCTGCCCCAATCTTTAGTGTGTCCCTCAGCACTTAGTCCTGGACCTTGGAATGTATCAGTCTGCAACGCTCAGTTGAGGTCAACTCCTTGCTTTGGAAGACCAAAAAGAGCATCTTTCACTGAATTGGTGGTCCTCAGGGCACAGTCAACATTTGTCTCTGTATGTGTCCCGGGGAACAGACCGTAGAGCACAGAGTCCTGTGTCTGTATGTGTCCCGGGGAACAGACCGTAGAGCAAAGAGTCCTGTGTCGCGGAGGTGCTTGCTTGGGACAAACGTTGACAAAAACCACTGCATCTTTCTCCAGACAAGTGTTAATTGAACCACAGCCGACGCCCCAGGAAGGGAAGTTCAGGTGTGAGCCTACAGTTACCTTTACCTGGACCTTGCCAGTTTTGGTACCTGTGCTTGTGTCAGATGGAGTCTGAACTTCCTCACACGAAACCACAGAAACTCACCAGCTCGCTATGCTAACTCTGATTTCAGCATGAAAATATTGTGCAGCATTGCACTAAAGAAATCCCATTTTGTAGGCGAGGATGGTTGCTTGCAAAAGACAGCATGAATAACAGAACTGGAATTCTAGACTCTTGTGTGTGAGATTGGAATTGAAATCGAGGAATTGCAATTGGCATATTTCACGTACAAGGTCTTAATGCACTTGCACTGCGTTCCGAGTGTGCTATTTTACCGTGAAAATTAAACCAATTTTTCTCTGCAGGTTATTACCTGATAGAAATAACACTTTCAAGAAAGTAGTACAACTACATTAAACATCTGCTCATGAGGTTTGCCAATTGGAATTTCTACGCTACGGAATTTAAATAAGGAACACTGAGTGACAGCAGTAACTGAGTATAAACAGGTGAATCAGTATTCAAATGGAAACCATCTTTATCAGCTTCTGGGTCATACCTCAGTATGAGCCTTTCTGTTTGCCTGTTATTGATTATTTGTTGGCCGCTTGTTGCTGGTCTCAGCAAATACAATGTTGGAGGAAGTGTGTTTCCTCTAACAGTTTCCGCAAGTTTTGGTCATTATGCGTTACAGCCTGGTCAATATTGTCCCTCAGGGTGAGGCACAAGACAGGTATAGTTTAGACAGCCTTTCTTCTCTGAGTTCTGAGCGCTGCCATTGAGAGATAAGTGAATGTTTGCATAATTGATAATGGTGAATCACTGCACAATCCAGTGATACCTGTATGATATGCAAAACTTAGTGTTCTTTGTTGCAATGTATGTTCAGAAAGTATATCTAAAAGTAAACCTCTCACTGTGAGCATGCTTTATTTATAAGTTCCAAATCTATGGTATAAAACTACTCAAAGGTTTCACAGGCATGAAATAGACAGGAAGAAAAAGCAAAGCAACAGGGTTTTAAAGATTGTTTGTGACTTTTCATTTTGTGGAGCTGGGGGACCAGTTATTTAAAGCTTGTAGTTGCGAGAAACATCAGACTAGATTTCACTCACCCTCACTGCCTGGTTCAAAGGGTGGCACATAAAATTCAGTGGGCAGCCTTCCTGCCTGTTCACAGCCCCACCACAATGTTGACACCCATTGGGGTAACATCGGAAGTCTTGCTCTACTCATGGTCTGTTTGAGGCCGTTAAATTGGCAGTTCGGCCCCACTCAAGGACCTCTTCCCTCTTCCACCAACAGGATTTGACCAGCAGTGGGAGAGGTCCTTGCCAAAAATCTCATCCTGCAGTTATCTCAGCGTGAGCTGGTGGTAGATTATGGCTGTTAACCTCCTTAACCAGCTCCCCTCGACCCATTGCAGAGCCTTGCCAAGGTGTAACCCCAAACCACCCACTTTGTGCAGGGTTCGACTCCCCTTTCCTCATCCAGCGTGCGATCCCATCCTCAGCTTGCCCCCTTCAA